GTAAAATTGATATCAGGATATCCACTTTTTTTCCTCCAAAAGCACACCCACACAATATTAATTAGCACATACAGATGAGTCATACATTCTAAATCTTCAGAAGGCCTCTGTAAATTCACACCTCTCTGGTAATCTCAAATATTCAGCAATTCTTCACTACAGGAGCAATCTATGAAAGCAGCTGTGAATATCTGAGATAACAAGCCTGTAAGATAGGGAGAGGTAGCTGAAACTTTTCAGGTAATTTACTAGTGTTTTTATTGCTTTAGATTCTTGGTACATTTATGAGATACTTTTAGAATGCTAAAAGTTACTTTATTGGTTTGCTGTGAAATAAAGTCATGGTGGATTATTCAGATATTTTCATTCTTTACTGAAGAAAACCTCAAACCCTCTGACTCCACTAGCACTAAAAATAGAGAAGGTATTTATAAGCTGTGAGTGGGAATGTTTACAACACCCAGTGTGTCTCACAACATATCATTATGGAGGTGTAAGGAAATTCCACCACAAAAAAAATCAAATAAAGCTGGTGAGCATTAAGACAGGTGCTTCCATCGAGGCATATTCTGTCATGCTTTAATCACAACAGAACAAGCCAATGACTGTTCACAGCATGAAAAAGCTGAGAACAGAGGTTCCAGCTATGGACCGTGGCTGGGGACTGCACTTGCTCTGCCCCACGATGGTTTTCCTTGCACCCACTCGCTGTGCATTTCCCCACAAGTGTTTGCATCCACTCACTAGAAGCACACATGCCTGTCAAAAGTCAGCTAAAAGGACATTTTGTGTTGCTTGCCAGGGTAGGTATGACAGCCTGACGTATATGAGTTTTTTAAGAGCTATTTTTACAATAAAATCCTTGACAGCACCCTCAGTCACATTGGAGTTGAAGGTTTGGGGAGTAAATTTGTGATGACAAAATCACGAATGGACAAGACACAAAGACACCCATTGTATTTTAGAGCTGCAGACGCTGGAGCAACGTGAGACAGAAACTCTAAAGAACCTTGGAAAATCAGGCAACTTCAACATTTCAAGTCAAAGGGTGATTTGTACTGAGGAAAAAAACTGCAGCAGCAGCTGCAGCTGATTTTGCCAGACTATTGGTATCGTTCCTTTTAGATTCACTGTTCTCCATGTCTTTGTTGCAATGTGTAGCATGTATTTTATATGTCTGAATGAATCAAATAGGAAGGTGGAATGTACAGAAATTGGAATGTTCCTGGATAAATGTTCAGGTTTTGTTGCATTGCATTCATATACATTGCATATCATATGCAGGAAAAGGCAAAGAAAGATTTATCCTGGGAAAGACTTGGGGACACAAAGGTTAATATGGTGTGGAATTAAGCAAAGGCTGCAAGAGCTGACTTGCACGATGCTTAGACTTAGAAGGCAGGTTGTATTTTAGACTATATTAATCAGAACTGCTGGTGCATTTCCACAACACAATGGCAGTATATTGCACTTTTTTTCCTGGATACAAGTAGGCAGTCATGCTGCATTTGAATTAATCTCTCCCTGGCAATTTCTCAGCCTATTCCAAAGAGATTTCAAATGGGATTAAACATAATATTTTCTGTGTATTCTTTAAACTGGCAGTAGGTAGAAATTGGGGGAGAGTGAGCCTTTATAAAAGTTCCAGATGGGGAAATCACACTCCTTATCTCTGCTGTTGTCGAAACTAATGTATTGTAAAGCAAGTTTTACAGGAATTGCTACGTTTGCTTGGTTCTGGTGCTCAGCAAGTGACTTGCTTGAAGGTATTTTTCAAGGGTGATAGAAGGGTGACATATTCATGGTAATGCAAACTTGCTATCAAACTCCAAGCTTCTTTGGTTGTTCTCCGAATGACTTATGCAAAGCCACATGGAAAATCCATGATACAGCCCTAAACCCAGAGATCATACCAATATCATACAACCATCGAGATCAAAAATAATGCTTTTCTGATTCCAGCAACAAAAATGTATCTACAATATTTTCCTAAAGGTATGACTCTCCACTAAGTTAAAAGTGTAAATTAAGAAGTGAAAGTCAATTCACTTGGAGAAAATGCAGCACCAATGAGGGTCTGGCCCTATCTGTCAAACACTTGATATTTGAGGTTGTTTTGCTGAAGCTTTGATTCCTAAGCTGTGCCTCAGAGAATACTCAGCCATCACTTTTCATCCTGAGACAGAGAGTTGTAACAGCTCTAAAAGCTTTCCTGCTTCCTGCAGCTCCTGATAAATGCAAGGTTGACTCTTCTGACAGAGTAGCTAAGACTCTAAACCTGTGACTTTTGCATTTCCAAAAGATGAGGAAGGCTTACTGAAGAGAAAATAAACTGATGGATGGCATGGAAATCTCTTCACAAAGGGCATTTTTTTTAAATCACTTCATCTTGTGGTGAGATGGCTGATGGGGAAGGTTTGATGTGTAGGGAGGAAGGAAGATTCGGGGACAGAACAGATTCAGGAACTGAGGTGAATCAAGTCAGCAGCTCATCTTTGTGTGCATCTTGCCGCTGTCCTACTCCATGTCCAGCTCTGTCCTTACTTGTGTCAGCTCAAGATGACCATGGGTGCATGGCTGAAACCATCCATGACCTCATCTAGCTTTTCAGAAAGGCAGAAAAAGGACACTTTAGACTTAAGATGGAGAAAAAAAAAATTGTAATGATCTTAAGTTGAGGAATTCATCCCAAAACAGTAAAACTATGAGGACAAATCCATCTCTGAGACTAATATTTCCCTAACAGGTTCAAGAACGCCAGAACTGCCTAACAAACAGGAAGTACAAGTCAGAGGGACATAAGTGGAATTTAGGCAGAATAACCTGGACTTAGACATCTCTGCATTCAATAACTAGGTCTCTTAAGAAGGATTTGGGAAGCATTTCACTTCATTGAGTAATGCCAGTTTGGCAAAGAACGTGTGTTACTTCTCCTTTTTGGAAAATGGAGGTGGGGGAATTGGAAATCAAAAACAGCTTTGTCATTATCCTAAAACTGATCCCTAAAATACAAAACCTTAGAGTTTACTTAGAGCATATTTAGAGCTTGCTACAGATTTTTTCTCTTCTTAGCTAGCTTTCTCTTGTGAATACAAATATGCAAACAAAATAACTAAAAAGGTGGTGTCCATCTGTGTGTGCAAATAGGCTGGAAGAATCTCCAAGGGATGCTAAATTTCCTGTTAACACTGAGCAGAATATTTGAATTAATCTGCTTCTGATGATTTTAACACCCAGATGATCTCTTCATACTTCATATTCAAATTATGACAGGCAGATGCTAAAATGCTAGATGACTCCTAAGCAAATACTCAAGTTTCTTCTGTTATCTTTCATAATATGTTTTCTAATGCCTAACTGGGAGACCGCCTCAAGACTAAAAGTGTAAAGCCACTATATCAGTCATTTAATTGACTACCAAATAAAATTATAGAGAAGATTCTATTGCTATTGTGTCTGCTGTCATCATCATATATAAACATGGAAAAAAATATATGCTAAATTTGTTCCTGCAAAATATCTATTGTCCAAAAGGATTTTTTGAATAATGCATATAACAAGAATTTGCACATCTAATGCCAATGGCTTATAAAAGACTGCAGGCAGCTATTTAAGCAGAACTGGTGAGCCTAGAGATATACACTTTTTTTTTCTCCAGAAACACAAAATGATTGTCCTGGAAATAGTGGAATTTTTAGAGTATTTCAATCCCCATGTGTAAGGATACTTCAGTGACTGAAGTTAGTTTCACATATAAGTTGTACAGCTCTGTATGTTTGTGTGTGCCTATGTGGGGGAGACCAAATTATCTCTAGATTTTTTTTTTTTTTCATAAATCAAAACACCACATACAGGTAAAATGTTCATGTGAATTCTTGTTAAATTTAAGCAGTCGGTGTAAGGCAGGCTGTGACATCCTTTCCCATCTCTTTTCACTGTATCCAGGGATGCAGGGTACAAGGGTGAACACTTGGACACTGGCCCCAAGCACCCCATCTCAGCACCCTATTTCCATATACAGCACGTGCAGTGCTGACCAGCTCATCTAAGCACAGCATGAAGAGCATGTTTTTATCTTGAGCAGGCACTCTGAGCCCTATGCTACTAGGCAGAAGCAAAGAAACAGTGGCTTTTTGGTCCATGCTTCCAGAATATATTAGTGTGCTGGTATTTTGAGAGTGCATGGGTGTTAGATGTGCCCTGAGCATGCCTGGCAGAGAAAGCCTTTTGGGGACACACATCCATCTTAGACCAGTTTCTCCATCTAAGATAAGTTCCGTTTAGGCTAATCTTCCCTTCAGGTTACAGCAGTTTTATGCATGGACAGAATCGAAGCAGCAGATGCAGGTGAAGCCACAGTAAGTCAAATTACAGCTATATTTATCTGTGAAAACTATCCTAACTTGTGGAGAAAAAAAATGCCTTCAGGAAATGAACTATTAGCTTAGTCAAGATGCTTAACTCTTAAACACATGAAGTCAGGAGAACAGAATTTTATTCCCACGGCCTTCAATCTACACATTTAAAATTCACACAATTAAAACATAAAATGTCCCCTAAAGCCAAGAAACAGTAAGTGGTTAGTATTCTAGGACACCAAACAAGACATAAATTTTTGAGGAAGTTAGTTCAACTATGTGGTTAAGGATGAGCCTGGGCTTTTAAAATTACATTGTGTGTTCTCTGCTAAATATACAGTAATATAGTTACAACCCTATGTGCTTCTCAGTACACTGTGGGGACTTACATGAAGGAACAAGCTGAACCTCTCTCAAATTGTCTCACAAAACAACAACAGAATCTAACAGCACTGCAGAGACCAAACCATTCCCCAATCTTCTTATCTCAGATGCTTTCCTTTGCTGACACTCATTATCTAAAAAAAGAAGTTGCTCACATTTATTAGATGCTTTTAGAATTAAAAAAATCTTTTAATACACTTCTAAGTAACAAAAATGTGTGAGTTTTATTACATATTTATAATAGTCTTGAAAACTTACCCATGTAGGGTTTTGTGCCAGCCATGGAGGAAGCTTTTTCCGAGCCTTTCACTATGGTCGCTATGTTGAAGTCTGTGATATGAACATGTCCTGCAATTACACAAAGGGAAATCAAAGGTCAAAATAGCCCAGCATGCAAATATTCCTTGCTTTATTTAATATTAGATTTCTAGTGGAAAGAAAATAATCTGGAAATTTATACCATTTCCAGTATACTATTACATGTTCATCAGAGCTAGAAGAATTTTCTTGGCACCAGAGTGATGCCACACTTTTTCCACATGCTGCTCTTCATCCTTACCAGCTAGGGCCAACTCTTCACTGCTGATCACCCCAGAACCTTCTGTGCCATGAACATCAAGTGCAATAACCACCTTTTCAGAGTAGTAACATTGTGCATGAGCTGAAGTGAATTTTGTGGCCCTATACTTGAAAATGGCTCTCTCTAACAAGAGCGATCTCCTACAATCTCATGTACTTGTGACACCTGTCTGCTATCTCATCCACTTCAAGTTACAATCAGCCTGTTTTTTTCTGCATCTCCTCAGGGCAAAAAGGGAGTCAGGATGAAAAAAGATATTTTCCAGTACAATAACTATAAAATTAGATTTACAGTAGCAGAGGAGTGTGCATGTAACAGCAGCAGGTCCCAAATGATCACTCATTTGACAGTAGGTTACAAGATGAAAGATATGTGACATAAATTGGCCCCTGGACTTGCTGTCTGACCAGCTAGACAGCTGGTTTTAACTGAATTAATCAGGTTTGATGGCCCAAGCCTGACATCAGTTTTTTTTCCTGAGGTAGTTTACTACAAGTAGAATTAAAGTTGCTCCAGCACGTATGGCAAAGTGCTGCTTCCTAGTCCTGGCTTGCCAGGCAAGGTAAACAATGCAAATCTAGCTTGAAAAAGTTTCTGCAAACTTTTAATACTTAAATCTCTTATTTGGTTGTGCATCTTCCATTTCAGGACTCTTTTCATATGGCATGATATAAATATTATGCTGCCTGCAGTTACACCTGATAAAGCCGTTCTAGAGGACAGAGTTCATAGAAAGGTACCCTCTTCTCCAACTCAACCATGGACTTGGGTCAAACTTCTAAAACATCTAATATCTAAACTTCTAATATCTCTGAAGATATTAGTTATTCTACAGTAAATTAACCACTAGGATTGAGCCACATGAATTATGTCACGTGTTTAACTAGAGTTTTCAAAAACAGGTTCCTGTTTTTTATCATCATCCCAGCCCCATTCAGTGGCGAGGATGGAGCTGGCTCTAAGCATGATACAGTTAAGTGAAGGAGATTGTTACCACATTTGCTGCCAAAAGATGAAACGAGTTAAACAAATGACTTGCTTTTTGTTCTGATCTTGACTGTTCTGCCGATGCCTGACTAAGGAACAGCAATTTCAATAGAAGGTTATTCAGTGCCTACTGTCTAACCTCAGCACTGCTCAAAGTCTCAGGGAAATGCACCTGCCAATCTCCAAGAAGCCTGCAATCATGCCTGTGTGAACTTCAAATCTCAGAGTCTATAATTGGGCCAGGTCTGCAGTGTTTTGAAAGGCAGAAAGGACATCCAGTGCCAAAATGTAAGCTACTCCAAATCAACACGCACTGGAGGTTTTCAATGAAATGGTTTGCATGCTTTCCTGAAGCTTGTTCTCAAAAACCACTTATGAAGCTCTCTTCCTTAGAGATTTAGCTCTGAAAACATCATCAGGAATGTGGAAAAATATGACAAAAACTGAAAGTAGATAAAAGTAATCTCTTCATAAGGGGTGTGTGTCAGGCTGCCATAACAATAATTAGTGTTTATAGTTCAGTCTTGCATCAAATTATAAAATGACATTCTCCTTCTGTGGTGGCTGAAGCCAATGGCAGGTGCATAGCATGTTTGCAGTTTATTTCTGCAATAAAACACCCTGGGAGAAAATGTCCTGAAAGAGATAACTGAACAGCATACAGCCACCTCATGGCAGTAGGTAAAAGCAATTTCATGTGCAAAGTAGAATGAAAAGCTACAAGGATCTTGGCAGACTAATACATTCTCTTTTTTGACAGATAAATATTAAGTTCTGTCATTTAAATGGCAGTATTGTAAGTGATTCTCCCCATTAGAGTGCCAGCATGACAGCCTGTTGCAAAACACCTATCACATAATATCCACTCAGACTGATGCAAATATTTCATTTGCAATGAAAATTGCCTCTTCAGTGTTGCATTGTTTTCTCTCCCTTTTATTAGATTTCTTCTCACTTAACAAAACCCAGCACACACGTGAAGTGTTATGTACTTCAGTAAAGGCTTTGGTTAAAAAAAGTCTTTCTGTAAGGCAAGGGACAGATTGGGAAGATGGAACAAAAGCTGCAGCATAGGAGAGCCCAGAGCTGACTCCAGCTGTGGCAGAAGAAAGTGGTATTTAACAAGCTCGAGTGTTTGAGCCCAGTGACTTGAATTTTTTAAAGAATATTCAATTCTTGTCTTGAATATTTGAGAGCTGTCAATACCTCAACTTCTGTAGGAAGGCTTCTGATCGGCATCTAAGACATGTACTTTTGCTGTAACATTTGCATATAGAAAATGGAAAGCAAGCTATGGGTTGGACTAAAAAAAACATATAGGATATCGGCCATTTCATATTATTTCCAAAATTTCAAATTATGGCAACTTGGTCTCATTCTTTGCCCATTCTCTTGCACAAAGAATAAATGCAGAAATGGAGGTCTGTACCCTGGTTCCCTTCTTCTGAAAGGTGTCTGAGACAGACTGATTACGATTAAGCAGAGGAAAATACATATGATTTCAAACCTATGTGAGTTTCTAAGAGTATGCAACTGATGGGGTGAATGAGGGGACAGATAGAAAAAAATATCAAGTTGGAGTCAGAGCCACATGAGTCAGCACTGATGGGAAATCTCAGCGTAGTAACATTTTGGAGCAAATTCATATCTGGTTTGCCCTCGGAAGGTCAAGCTCTACAAGCTATTTAAAAAGCAACTTTCTACCTTTATCTGTACTACATACAAGAGTGTCAGCTACTGTGTGTGCAAACTTGGCATGACTTGGCAGTCTCTCAGTTATTATCAGCGAGGTTTTTAGAAACCTGGCTATATTGCAACAGATGGGTTCAGAAAAGCTATGCATTTCAAAAGGGGCAGGCATGTTTAATTTCCACATAACCATGTAAAAATCTCAAATATACTTTCAAAGCCAGGATAGTTTCAGGAAAATGAGTTATTCCCTGTGCACTCACATCTTTTATCAAGGTCAGGAAAACTGTGCATGGGAGGAGGGTTAACACTAATGCAGACACACCAGGCGCTTCTCTAGTGAAGAATTTAAATATCTCAGAGTTATTTTATATAATATCAATATTGCCAGTTCTGTTGTTCAGAAGTTCATATTTCAAATTATTGAATCTATGGTTCCTGCAGATTGACCAGAATTGTTAACAGCAACAGTGCCTTAGACACACTAGCTAATAGATCATGAAGTGATTTAAAGGCATCTTTAATTTCTTTTTCATTTCAGGAAAAATGTGCAACAGCTCTAAGCTCTAAACATTTTCATCTCAGTCCCATTGTTCTAAACCCCTAAAATGATAGGAACAGTGAAGGAAGCAGAATAACATTAAGAGAATTCTATAAAGCACTTCTCTATAAAATACAATAATTATAGTCCTCCTAGATCATCAGGTAGTCCCTTCAACCATCAATGGAATAATTCTGTTTCATATGCACAATGGACAACAGATCAGCTAAATTTAGAAAGAAGTGTTTGTCCTGAGAGGAAGAGCTTTCTGGAAAAGTGGAGGGGGGACTGGGAAGAAGAGAAAAGAGTTAATAACCACTTACCATGCTCATCCAATAGTATGTTGTCAGGTTTGATATCCCTGCAAAATAAGAAAAGGAGTGTATTACATTTGATACTCAAAGATGACTTGCAAATTTTGAAGCTTTTCTCATCCAGGTAGAAGGGTTGGGACATGTAACTTTTTAAAAATCCAATGAAAACCATACTATTCAACAATGACAAGAGATCTTTTTATCTGTGTCTTTTCACTGCTTAGATAAAACATGTGTGACAAAGACACTGTGCCAGTTTCTGTTCCATGACGCTCTGTTTTCACACAGTTAGCACTGACAAGGAATTGTTTTTCATTCATGTTTTATTCCTTACAGCAGCAGGAAGAACGAGAGAAAAGATTTGCATTGTGACAGTATCTCAGTGCCTCTGGGACTCTTCATGCAACAAGACCAGAAAATCATTTAATCAGAAATACCAGTGACCCAACCTTTGTGGTAGAGCCTACTAATGGCCGTGCTCATGCACCTGACCACTGACGACTTGTAGTTCAGCTGTCTTATGCTACTGGGATAACTCTAGCAGCTCTAGTTTTAAATCCCAAACCTGCATATATATAGCTATAGGAGAGAGAGCAGCCTGGGGAAGCAAAGGAAGGTAAGGCAGGAGATTATGATAAGACGAAACACAAGCATAGTTCTTCTCCTTAGGTCTTAGCACAAAGAGGTAGCATTGCCCTTGCTGCAGTTTTGGGATCATCTGGAAGTTGGCTTTATGCTCAGGCTGCTGCCAGGAGGGAGGAAACAGCTTTTCCCCTTCCACATTTACAGGTATTCCACTACCTTTCTTGGGTCAGTATCACTCCTCGCTCTGTGGAGCTGCTCTGATGGAAACTCATCTCTTCTTTTGCTGCTCTGCATAGGCTCCATCATTCGTCCTGCCCTTCAGCTTCCTAAGGAGGACCTGGGTGTTGTGTAGCACTGCCTTGCACTTGTGCTCAGCACAGATTTGAAGTCAGGCATTTGGTGTGCTGCTGTCTAGAGAGGAAGATGTGTCGATGCATGTTGTGCAAAACATTTACCGCTTGGTCTGAATTTTCTCCTGGATTCAAAAGAGAAGCTAATGCAAGTTATTAAAATAAGCTGTTAAATGAGTCTTCAAACAAGCTGCAAAGACTTCCATCTATATATCTATGTTTGGATATATAAATGACTTTCAACAGAAACACCTTTGACTGTTAAATTAAACCTTTTAAAGCTTGCCTACACCAAGTCCATCAAGCAGACCCTTCATGTCTCAACTGGGCTAAGAAATGGACATGAGACCCTTTCTTTCAAGATAAGGTGTCTTACAGACAACAGTGATATGTTCAACTTTGCCTCCAAACTCTTTTCCCCAGTTTAATAAAATCAAAATTAAGATTTGGAATGGTAAGATTCATTAGCATTTCACTGATAATGAAACTGAGGAAAAGTAGAAATTCAGCTTTATAAAGTACTGTCATATGTATGATGATGTGGCACCCAGAGATTGCTAATTACAAACCCATGCCTTTTCCATCTTGTTTTAAGATGAGTTTAAACAATCTTATGTGAATATCTGTTATGGTTTTGCACGATTAAATAGAATGTATAGTGTTACTCTCACCAAAAAAGATACTGACAAATCCTCCTTACATCTGTACATAACCTTAAATATATTCTAGATGCAGTTGCAATTGCAATGTTCAGGAACAGTTGAGCAATAAAATCAGATCTGTGCTTATCTATCTGTGACTAATTCAGACGGTGGTTTATTCCAGACACAAATCTAAACACACTGTACAGCCTTTCCTATGTATGAGATCTTCTCCAACGCGTGCTCCACTGACCTTGCACTGTTGCTGGGAGGAAATCAGCCCAACCCACCAGCGCCCAAGGCACCTTGATTCACTCACATCTCTGTCTCATATCTCGAAATAAGTTATTCTGAACTGTTTTTACAGCAAGTAAAAGTCATGGGCTAACTTAAGCTAGAAGTGGAGCAAGTTTCTTGGGTACTTTATTCCAGAACCCAGGATGCTGCTGTTTTGGAAGCACATGCCTCTCGAGGTGCACAATGAGTAGGTTCACATTACAGAGGAGAAAAAAAAGTGCAACGTCCAAGGGAAGAGCCTGCTTTCTGGTAGTGCTTTTTCATATGGTTGTCCTCAGTTTATAGCCCAGTGCTAAAACCTCACTTCTCCACAGGCAGCTGGTTGACAGCTCCACAGACTGTAGAGGAGCAGGACCAGCTGTACAGTGCATTGCATTAACATGCCAGGTCTGTACAGTAAGTGCTCGTGGGGGATTCAACACAGTCAGTGTGAAGACCTGGCAAGTTTAGGAGCAATGCAGTTGTGATATATTCAGAATGGCACACTTGTGGCATCTATTATACAGAAGACAGCTAGTCCCTTTAAACAAAAGTCTAGTTAAGTACGTTTCAACGGTTCAAGCCTTGTTTATGCAGGCAGGTAGATTTAAAACATAAACATCCTTTAGTTAAGCAGATTAAATTTGAAAACGTTAAGTAAAATTCTATTTTGACTGCACATCAGATTTCCAGAAAGCATTTTTCCTCTTAATAGATCAATTCAAACAGCATACATCAAATTCTATCCTTAGGGATTCCATACATTCAGGATTTTCCTGCTATGCACATCCCCAGCTACACAAACAAATTGAAACAGTAATTTCATGATCCAAATCCCTTGAACGAGCTCACAAGAGAAAGCCAAGCATTTCTGCAAGTAATAAACTCAAATTTTATATTCAACCTGGGCTGCCTTCAAAGTATTCTCTGAGTAATAATCAGCAGAATTCTTCTAATCACTGTTCTCACTCACAAACACAACTTGCTCAGTCTAGGCTGGTGCTACTCCAGCTCCTTTTGTTCACAAAACAAAATCAGAGTAGGGACCAAAAATTGGAAGTAGATGAAACCTTCAAGCTCTTCACTCAGTGGTAGGAGCAAGTACAACTATTATGATAGCTGGGCCAAGAAGCTCAGAGGTGCAAACAGGCAAGAAAAGATCAAAAAAAAGCAGAGCTTAATTTACACTTGTTGCTACCGCCTGTGGAAACTATTTCTAGTTTCCTTTGTTTGCTTAGAAACAATGTCATACTGAAACTGTCTACTGAAAAATGAAAGAAAAGATACTTTTCCGTATGTTTTCCAAGTTTTTTTTTTAAAGATCGTTCAGCTTTATTAATAATCAATTTGCATCTTCTATAATACCTAGGCTGAAATGCCATCCACTCTTGAAGCTATTCCCTCTGCTTGAAGGGAAGTTTTGCCCAGTTTGTACTCATTGTACGTGTAAGTCAGCATCCACTCAACTCACTGGAAAGGCTCACAGTGATAACAAGGACTCAGGTTCAGATATTTACAGGGTCAGTTATTGTTTCCCCTCAGATGTTACTGATTAGGGTAAAAACAAGTTTCTAAACTAAGCAGATGACAGACTGTGAAGTCTCCATCCTCGGAGATTTTCAGATTCCACTGGCTCAAGCCCTTAGCAGCTTGATCTGATCTCACATCTGACCCTGCTTTGGGCAGGAGGTTGGATTTGGGACCGTCAGAGATCATTTCCCATCTGAATTATTCCATGATTCTTTGAAAAATAATATGTACAAGCTCAAGTCCAACACCCTCCTCCTTTTGGCTACAAGAAAGGGATAAAGGACAAATGGAATAGGAATGTTTATGCAGAAATCAGTGAGGCTTTGATATGGTACAGTATAGCTGCCTATTATGGAAGGTTGTCATAGTTTTCAATCATAAACTCTGTCATGGGGCTTGGTTACTCATGAAGTAAAAAAACCAGGAATAATAAATAGCCAATCTTCAGCATGACAGGAGATCAAAATTGAACTGTCTAACCATTTGGTACTGAGGAGGTCTAACAATATTTACTAGTGTTATGAAATGGCAAACAATGAAGGGTGTCTTGTCTGAAGAATACTCTGAAAAATGGCAGTAAGAATGAGCAAAGCTAGATGATTACATTGTCAATCCCAGAGACAAATAAGAGTAGGCACAAAATATATATAATCTATAATAAATAGATTATTATATATTATATAAGTATATTATATAAATATAATATATAATCAGAAGGTTAGAATTTGAATTACTAGTAGGGATTAAATTATCTTTCCAGGGGATGCATATTCATATCCCTTTCATAGATCAATGAGTCAAAGGAAAGAAGATTGGAAGGAAAGAAGGAATGAGAAGTACTGTGGTGATGCTATTTGCTCTAAATAGTGAAATTCAGAAAAATCTCTAAAAAAAAGTTTCATGCGCATCTTTATAGATGCACTGTAACTATTGATCTAGGCTGGACCTGAAGCCGTGATCTAGAAATGGTGGGGTTAGGGTTGTGGTTGGTGAAATCAACCATCAGGTAACTAGTTTCATTACCAGAAGAAAGAAACTACTTTTAGTTGACTACTACAACATAGTGATAATAACTAATTATGAGTAGCTATAAAAAAAAAAATTGAAAAAATATTATGCTCTAATTTAAAGCATAAAAATTGTATGTCCTCCTCCAGGTCTCCAGATTTTATATCATCTAAAGGAAAATAACTGAAAAAGAAGATCTGGGGAAAGATGGAATATAAAAACAAATAAACTAACAAAACAAAACAAAAATACCCTGAGACTAGAGAACAGATTAGGGTTGTTTAGCTAAGCGCAGTGCCTTGCTATATGTGATATAACAGGCATCTAAAATAATAAGTACTACCTAGAAGGTCAATACAGCTTCCCTGATTGCTTTTGGAGTATAAAAGCAAGGTTTGCATTTCTTAAAAATGAAATAACTTAAACAAGCAAGATTTTGTTTATATAACTGTGAATTAAGCTCTGAAGTTGATTACTGCAAGATCTAATTGCATATAAATGCTTGGGGAGCTTAGACAAGGACTTACTCATGTATGTGAGCACTACCAGCTAGAGGTTCTCCAGCTAAGACTAATCTAATTAATTTAGGAAAGCGCTTCTCCGGCTAGTACAGGTGCTGGCTACCCTTCATGTATTTCAAATATACCAAAAATAATG